AACCTACTCGTCACCGTGCGTGCCCCTGATAACATTGCCAGGAAGATGGAACCTACTCGTCACCGTGCGTGCCCCTGATAACATTGCCAGGAAGATGGAACCTACTCGTCACCGTGCGTGCCCCTGATAACATTGCCAGGAAGATGGAACCTACTCGTCACCGTGCGTGCCCCTGATAACATTGCCAGGAAGATGGAACCTACTCGTCACCGTGCGTGCCCCTGATAACATTGCCAGGAAGATGGAACCTACTCGTCACCGTGCGTGCCCCTGATAACATTGCCAGGAAGATGGAACCTACTCGTCACCGTGCGTGCCCCTGATAACATTGCCAGGAAGATGGAACCTACTCGTCACCGTGCGTGCCCCTGATAACATTGCCAGGAAGATGGAACCTACTCGTCACCGTGCGTGCCCCTGATAACATTGCCAGGAAGATGGAACCTACTCGTCATATTTTGACAGCTGACCCATGGGGTCTACTTAAGCTCGGACATAAGGAACGGGTCATAACTGGGGCTGCCGGTGATGTATTGGGGGACCCAGCTTAACCCCCTACCCGCGGGAGATCAGTCAGACCGGAAGTATGACCGAGGATTTCCGTGCCGGACTCACACGGCAAGCCGGACGAGGCTTCCGGCATGACTGTGGCCATGTTTTGAGGACTTAATGGCGGATTAATTCGTGGTGGGAATACGGCCGCGGTTTGAAATATGGAGCTCGAAATGGCGTCCGGGGAGAATAAGAAGGCGAATTGTGATTGGTTGTCAATATGCCTGGCGAACAATGGCCTTAAGAGAACATAAATAACCCTGGGTGGCCGGGGTGGTTGGGGGGGGGGGGGGGGTAATTGACATCTGGGGTTTATAAAAGAAAAGTCGCTGTAGGGCTGGAATTCGTTTGACAAAGAAATGGAGATGGTTATTACTGTACCAGATAAATAAAAGTCTCAAGATCTATGACCACGATCTACACCTCAGCCATACATATCCGTCAGCTGGTAGGACCCTACGTGTTTAATCTTAACCTGTGTGTTGTGTTATGTTATGTTATGTTGTGTTGTGTTGTGTAAACCAAGCTTGTCGAATGCTGTGACTGCTGGATAAGAAAAGATAACTCAGTAGACTCTGGATATACGGTAATCTGTCTTTGTGTTAGAATCTTCGCTTCGAAATGCGAAAACAATTCGTTACATGTAGTTGTAAGCTGTGTATGTAAATAAAATCTTTGCTTTAAAATGACATCAGAATTTACTCACAGCTGCTTTTATTTCTTTGTATACATTCAGCTCCTTAAACTTTTATGAACGAGATGAAACCGGCTCTGAATATAAAATGTATTTAAAATTTCTTTTGTAGTTCCCCATCACACAGCCAAAATTTATCCAAGATTACTTGGAGTTATAATGCGGACAAGACAGCTTTTGGAGCCATCAGCACTGGACAGATCTCCGATGTCCTGCGTGTAATTTCGTGCGTGAAGCCACGTTCTTTGTCTTGGAGCCAGCTGTTGTTGTCTGCTAGAACTGGACGTCTGATCGTAAAACACAGGGACATGATCCGCCATTAGGGTATCACTGGGTAGCTTGCAGATCGGTCTATTTTTGGGATCATTCAGTCTCGTTTTGGAAAGATGCCATGGTTCACGACCCCTGGTGCGCGCGCAGTGTTGCCGTGTTAGGGGAGGGGAATGTGTTGGGGGAGGGGAATGTGTTGGTGAGGGTCGAGCCGGTGCAGTTTTGTTTATCTGAGACACGTCACAATTAAGTTACATCAGACGAAACATTTTGAAACAATTGCTAAGACAGATGCAATAAAATTGGTACCTCCCCTAGAGGCGTAGCGAGGGCGGGGCGGAGGGTGGGGACCACACCGGATGACACCATTTATTGGAGTGACACCAAAATAATATATTGCAAAATGTAAAGAAGAAAAATGCCTTTTTGCCAGTTCCATTAATGATTAATTAAAGTTAATTAGTCTTTTAAGTACAAATCAACAATTTTTACAATGGGGTGGGGGTGACACCATGACTTAAACGTGCAAATTATAGAGAAAATAATGCTACACACACACACATATATATATATATATATATATATATATATATATATATATATATATATATATATATATATATATATATATATATATATATATATATATATATATATATATATATATATATATATATATTCATGGATACATAAACTTTGTTTCTTGGGGGGGGGGGGGTAACACCACGAATTGCCGCACCGGTTGACACCCGACCTAGCGATGCCACTACCCCTCCCCCCCCCCCCTCAATAAATAGCATGACATAATACGACAGGACCGCGGTAAACCAAACGTATGTTTTACTGTTACACGGACCAGTTCATTTGATTTTCGTACACATTTTAATTCATACGCTAGCCATATATATTGATATGAAAGTACTTATTACTGTTTTAAAAACATTAAAATCTAATTTTATGTGAGTTTTAATTATTTTAAATCTTCAAAGAAAAACATTCAAATATATCAAGACCATATTTTTTTTAAAAAACAAAAAATAAAGACTAATTTCAAAAGACCAATATTCCTTCTAACACGCAATTGCTCTTTACAAAATAGTTCTAAAGGCCGGCTGGCATTGTTAAGCCAATGCGCCTTTTTTCGTCTAGTTTTTATCTTGAACTACTGGAGTTTCAGATCAGGTTGCCAGGGAAATGTCAGCTGTAATTATTTATTTATAAACCTACTGGCGACAAAATATCACTTCATAACAAACAATAGTATCATTTTCTGAGAAACGGATCGGGAAATCCCGAACTGGCGCAGGTATAATTAGCCTCGCCGGCTCGACTTTCGCTGTATACTGGATACGTTTGTAACGCGAGATCTGTCGTCTGCCGTGAAATAACAGATGGGTGTGACAACGTGTGGGCTGGACTCACGTCTGTCATCTGTTGACGATTATCTGATATAGTCAGCTTGCAGCATCAAGTTGTATTTCATGGGTGTCGGGTGATGCTGTCACTGGTAATGTGTCAATGATGTGTGTAACTGACATGTGTGTACTGACATGTGTGTACTGACATGTGTGTCGATGACGTGTGTGTCACTGAGATGTGTGTCACTGAGATGTGTGTCACTGAGATGTGTGTCACCGACATGTGTTAATGACAATGGGAGACACCTCCTGAGCCGATGATGTCCGTAAAGAAAGAAAAAAACAGTTCTAAAGCTTCTAAAGTGGATTGGGATAGTAATAGTCCTATAGTTATATTCTTTTATCACTAATTTTATTATTTTGCAGAGCTCGTTAAAATACTTTAAATATGTTTTGTGCGAAATATTTGTATGTTTTTATATGAATAAATATTTTCTCATGTTTATATTTAAATTCAAATTTATTTGCCTAATCAAAAAATATTAATTAAAATGTGAGTGGCTCTTTAATTATTGAAACATTTTGTAAATTATAACCTTTGGCCTCTAGCTATTCACTACATGTTGCAGACCTTGGTTTGGAACATTTTTGCCAACAAAAGTGGGTAAGGTATAACGTATGGAAGAATAGTTGAAAACAAAACTGGTTTGCATGGATTTCATCCCATTCTGTACAATAAACATAGTAAATACCAAAGAAAAATGAATAACCAGTAGAGTAGTCACATACACAAAATGTGTTGTTTTACACAGATTACATTTACATTAGTACTTTTTTTTTTTTTTGCCTCAGACACGTAATTTATAGCGTCAGTTGTGTGTTCGCTTTAGTATTACAGTTTTCATCATCGGCTTGTGAGGACTGATACAGATTTACAATAGTAATATTTCTTTCTTACTTGTAGCCTGCTTTCATTCATTTAAGATGGTTTACTTATACATAGATCTAATACAAAACGTCTAAATATAAAGAAAAAATTAAAATTAAAAACCAACCTGAAACTGAAAATGCAATTGTGTAATTAAATGATGATTCAAGGGATTTTTTTTTCTCGGCGTGGTGGGCTGAGGGGACGAGGGGGGGGGGGGGGAGAGGGGGAATTTTTTTTTTTTTAAGTAGAGCTGAAATGAATTTGGGATTACAGAGAATTAAAATGATACAAATTTTAAGCAATCGGAAAAGCTATGTTATTACAATGAGACACGTAAAAGCAAACACTCTTCCCTTTCAAACATCTATATCTATACAGTCCTCACTCAATTCGTTTTTTTTTTCCTTTTTTTTTTAATTTTTTTATTAATTCAATTGGTTTAAACATTTAAATCAGTAATAATTATTTATTTGATAGATTTTACACAGCATCAAAGACATGGACATCAATTGCACATACAATAATCAAATGGAGAAAATAAAATGGCACAAGAGCTAGACCAAAATAAGGTGTGCAAACTAGGTTTCTCTTGACTGCCCAGTTTACTGTGCTCTGTCCCTAGCTGAGGAGTCAAAGGTTCACATTGTAGCCGTGGGAGAAGTGTCTCTGCAGTACACATACTGATCTATCATTCCAAAGCTTTCCGTGACACAAAATTGACCCTTGGCAAAGAGGGCACGCTACCTTGAAATGTCCGCCAGTCCGGTTGAGTGGGGGGAGGTGTGTTTGGGGGGGGGGGGGGGTGAGGTGTGTATACATTAGTACAATAGCGAATTACATAAATGGATTACATATTGACGCATCAATTTAGGATTGACTTCTTCGCTTGTCTTTAAAATTAGCATATAAGACTTTTGAAGTTTTTCTATTTTACTATTTACTTAAAGTATTTTACTATTATAAGTATAAAGTAAGGACCATGCAATAGTATTTTTTTTAAATTTATTTATCAAAATATTTATCCGTTAACATACTAAACTTAAATATTATGTGTTCAATTCATGTACATGTGTGGCAAAGAGAATTAAATGTATATTGCCTCCCTTATAAAACAAAATTCGAAAAATAAAAGGGAAGTAATTAGGAAGTATTTACTTTAATATGTAAATTCCTTACTACAGTAGGGGCCTATAGAACTTGTAAGTTTATCGTTCTTTCTCGCGTTAATTCGTGTCTGGTTAGCCAGGGAGAGATAAAAGTTTTCGAACTAAATCAATTGTTGTGAACGGGGTTTCCCATTGATAACAAAAAACATGGCGGCTATTTGTTAGTAGGTCCCGCTTCAAGATTTCAAAATCATCAAACGTTCCAGAAATGCAACAACTGTAAAAACTTTCAACGCTGTTTTGTTCATATGGATGGGAACAAACACATGTGTATGCATTTTTGAATATAAAAGTTTTGTGGCGGTAAGTATATTAATTTTATTTCTTTTGTTGATAGTTTGTCCAAGGCTAGGGGACATTACTCTGACTCTACTCAGTCTTTGCTACGAGACTTAAGATTCCCAGACCTAGACCTAGATCTAGATCTAGATTCTAGAATCTACCTACTAAGATCTACATTGCTTTAATCTAGTTCTAAGAGTATAAGTTCATGAATTAGAATATATTAGATCTAGATTCTAGATCTAGTATTTTAGTGATCTAGATAAAATATTAAAAATATTAAGAAAAGGATGACGGTAAAAACTAAAACAACAGGAAAATGAGGATGACTTCCAGTCTCACTCAGCCTACGACTTACTTTACTTATTAATCGAATCTAGATCTAGATTCTAGATCTAGATATTAGATCTAGATATCTAGAACTTAGACAACAATGTTAATGTTAATAGACCTAGATCTAGCTAGATTACTGAACTAGACTCTAGTAGTCTAGTACTGATTACTCAGTGATTAGGCCTACTGTTTAATATTTTAGAAGTAGGCCTATTATATAGATCTATTAGTTATTTATTAGAAGTAGCTTGTAGATAGATGGCTAGATAGATAGTATTACTAGATCTAGATAGAGATAGTAGAATAGATCTAGATTCTAGTTGCAGATGGTAGTATGGTAGGCCCTAGATCTAAAATCTAGATCTAGAGAATCTAGTAGATCTAGATCTAGATAGATTCTAGATCTAGATTAGATCTAGTTTAGGTAAAACCTACCCTAGTTAAGTTTAGTAAGAGCTAGTAATGCCTAGTAAGGCTAACCTGTTTTTAATTTTAAATTAATTTTTTTATATCTAGAATCTAGACTAGATCTACTCTAGCTATTTACTAGATCTAGATCAGTAGCCAGTAGAGTGATTAGAGTAGTAGTAGAGTGTAGTGTAGAGTACTGTAGACTATTGTAGAGTGTAGGTACAAATAACTAGACTGAAACTAAATTAGACTAGAATCTAGGTCTAGATACATTTAGGGCTTACAGACTTATCAGACTACAGTGTTGCAATGAGTAGATCTAGTAATATATAGATTAAATTTAGTTTGAAATTGTTACAGTAGTGCTACTACTTTTCTAAGTAGTAAGTAGTGTAGACTACTAGAAGAGCAAGATGATAGATCTCCATCAAGCTACAATAGAGTTTAGTTAGTAGTTAGTTAGTCATAGTAATAGTACCAAAAGCAGTGTAAGTAGCACAGTAAAAAAAAAAGTATTACTAGGCCATCTATTATTGTATTAGGCCCTTTTATTTTTAGCAAGTTAAAGTTTGGTTAAGTACTAGTCTTCTAGCAAGTTGCCTAGTAGTAAACTTATAAACTAGATCATGTGTATTAGTACTATTAGACTTGTAGGCTAGTCTTGTTAGTCTAGACCAGGGACTATAAAATCTACAATTGATAATTTTCGGCCTTTTAGTATAAGCCTAATTATTAATGAATTATAGGGTACAAAAATTAATAAATTGGTCAGAGTCAGTATGGTTACAGTTAGCTGTTAATAGAATTAAGTTTTAGATCTATTGACTACAATTTTTAGTTACAAGTAATGAAAATGAAACTAATAGTTTTGTAATAGTTAAGATATGGTTAACTGTAAATCAGATATTTTAGTTTTTAAGACAAGCTAAGTAGATAGAAAACTGAACCTTTACAATAAATTAAACCTTTTATAAATAAATAAATAAATAAATAAATATATATATATATATATATATATATATATATATATATATATATATATATATTAATATCTCATATTAGTTAAATAATTATTTTAATATAATATATGGATAAACTTAATAATTTATTATATTTAAATTCCCTAGGTACTTGGCAAGCAATTTTCTCACACTTTACTGTGGCTATTGGTGCTGATCTTGAGCTAAAGGTGAGCTGAATTTTTTATATAATAAGCCATTTTTCAGCTTAAGCCCAAGTTTGAAACCGATTCAGTGTTCTAATTCTTAAAGAATATGTTGCTACTAAGATTATATACTGTAAGTATTAATATGTATGGCTTGATAGTGGGACTGTCAGACAGTAGCTTTCACATTTCTATCCTAAAAGATAAGAGTTCAGATCCCTGGTTTTAGTCCTGGTATGATGTCCTAAGTCTCATGAGTACCAGCTCTCATGAGTACCTGGCTCAAGATAGGGAAATTAAAGGTGGCTGGGTATATACCTCTGAACACTCTAATTTTACATGCAAATGTCTCAGAAACAGGTGAATTTTAATTCAACTGCTATATTGGCTGTCTGTTTTAATCAATGATTAATTTTTTCATATTACAGAAAGTTGTTAAAAATATTATTTATTTAATTTCTAGGTAAATGGAACAGCATGGATGTGGATTTTTAGACACAAGGAAGCTGAATTTAACTTTTAATGAAGAATTTAAATGATGATTGTCCATGAAAAGAAATATTAATCATATACATTGTAATGCTGTATTGATGCATCTTCTGTTTTAAGTAATTAAAAAACCATCCATTTATGAAATTATTTTCATTTTTTTTTTCAATTTTAAAACTGTAGTTCTGTTTTGTTATTTGAAAACAATGATGAAAGTATACTGAACTGCCATTGAGATATTAATATAAATGCTATTGTTTATAGTTTAATTCTTTCAGAAGCAACTATATTGACATCAAAACTGAATCTTTATTGTACACTAAGTATAAAAGCTTACCCGCAAACCAGTCCATGTCAACAATTTATTGACATTCAAACATTAAATTTTTTTACAGGTGATTTTTCTTAAATAAAACAGACTACTTTCATATGGGATAAGAAACATTTAATTTTGAAATTGATTGGTTTATTAAATTTTAATGGAGCTGAAACTAAAACACTGGGTACAAATTTATTATTACTTTGTTTCTCAGAAAATTGCAAATTTTGAACATAAGAACTGTGGGAAGTAGGCAATGATGTTAAAATATCTCTTGAAACTTGAAGAAATTGTGGAAGGTTTAGAGATAGAAAACAGCATTTCAGAAGATGATGTTTGAAATAATGGTAAAATATCTTTAGCAATTGTCACTGAATAAATATTTTCATTAGACAAATCACATTTAGATATAGAAGAATAAGGTATGTCTTCAGATTTTCTTATCAGCGAAGATCCTGGGTGATTCTCTTTGTTACCATCTGTCAAACGACAAGCCAATTCTGGAAAATTCATTGGGTTCTTTGCCTGGGCAGCTAAATATATTTAAATTAAGTTCATGCAAGGCTTTAGAAACATCAATTGGATAAAACTCTATAATTTCATTAACTTTTTATTAATATCAGCTCCAAAGGAATAATATAAACAAGTTACACATCATCAATAAATCAAATTTGCAGATATTTCCATTTCACCAAACTTTCTCTAAGTCATAATATATATTTTAAATTCATGGCATTTTGTTAGGCTAGATATGTTGACTTTTATTTACCACAATAATCTGATTATATAAATTAGGATTACCCAGCTATCATACATTCTTCTTTTTACTGCCCTCCTTTATGAGGGGGAGGTAAAAATCATCATAAAATGTGTGATGCAATTTACAGATGAACCCTCTCTCTCTCTACCCCTCCCCCTATATATATATATGTATATCTACATAATCTCTAAAATCATGTTGGTACCTCTACCTGTTTGAAAGTTAGGCCCATTTCCTTAAACTGTTTCTGTGTGGATCTTCTCCATGGGGGTCATCTATAAATGACGTCACGCACTTTTTTGACGATTTTTACCTCCCCCCCTCCCCCTACACATCGTCACAAAAAGCCAGACCCCCACCCCCTAAAATGAAGTCACACAGTACTAGATTCTAGATCTAAATTACTACAGTTGCCTACACTCTAGATTTAGTTCTTAAGTTCTACAACAAGACTACACTAAACTTCGCTAGATCTAGAATAATCTAGATTCTATATATAAATTGATATTGAACATATTCTAGTCTACCTGTCTTAAAGTAAATAGCCTATTTAGTAATTTAGTAATTAAATCCACTCAACTACACTGTAAAATAAAAGAAACTAGATCTAGAATCAAGATCTCTAGACTACTCTTGAGTATATAAATTAAAAATAAATCCTGTATGTTGTATGTTACTGTCTAAGTCGGAATTTTCAAGAGGGTTTTTTTTAAGTCATAGATCTAGATATAGAATTCTAGATCTAGAAATCTAGACTCTAGATCTAGGCTATATATATTTATTAATTAAATTAGGCTTGATTTCAGATTTACGATTGAAATCTTTTAGGCCTATACTATAAATATCATATTTTATATAGATTATAGATGTATTATTATTATACAGGTTGTATTCTAGATCTATCTAGATCTATATAAAATATAATATATTTGTGTGTGTGTGTTATTTTAAACCTAATTTACTTAAAACAACTTATTGTCGGAGTTTTTTTTATTTCAAAAACGAAAGTAGATTTCATAACTTAAAAAAAAAATTAATAAAAAATATTCACATTTGGTTTGAAAAAACAAAAAAACGCCAGCTGGCAACTACCGGAGCGAGAACTTGGTAAGCTACTTTAACAACTTACAAGCCCAATATCACATATGGTACACTATAATAAAATGTATGATAAAACCCAAGCAGAATCTGTTTATTTATAAAAGAGCAGGAGCTGAACAGGCCAAGTTGTGAGCTGATGAGACTTGCTTAGTATAACACTATATGGGAGGTCTACAGTGAGACAGTAACACCCCCCTTCCCCCATCAATACAGGCGACTTCCAATCAGCCGAGTTCCCGTCTATACAGCCGAGGTCCCATGTCCCCCACCCATTTATACAGCCGAGGTCCCATGGCCACCCCCCACCCATCTATACAGCCGAGGTCCCAAGTCCCCCCCCCCCCACCCATCTATACAGCCGAGGTCCAATGTACCCCCCACCCATCTATACAGCCGAAGTCCCATGTCACCCCCTACCCATCTATACAGCCGAGGTCCCTCCCCCCCACCCATCTATACACCCGAGTTCCGATCAGCCGTGTTCCCAACAACCCAGTCCCCATCTATATACCCGAATTCCCATGTATACAGCCGAGCTATACATCCGGCCTATGAGAGGAAACATACGTGTAGTTTCCTTACTGAACCCCTACCCTGGGGGCGTGACATAAAGTTTCCTTACTGAACCCCTACCCTGGGGGCGTGACATAACGTTTCCTTACTGAACCCCCTACCCTGGTGGAGGCGTGACTTACGTGTAAAGTTTCTTACTGAACCCCTACCCTGGGAGCGTGACATACGTGTAAAGTTTCTTACTGAACCCCCTACTCTGGAGGCGTGACATACTTGTAAAGTTTCCTTACTGAACCCCTACCCTGGGGGCGTGACATAAAATTTCCTTACTGAACCCCTACCCTGGTGGAGGCGTGACATACGTGTAAAGTTCCTTACTGAATCCCCTACCCTGGTGGAGGCGTGACATACGTGTAAAGTTTCCTTACTGAACCCCTACCCTGGGGGCGTGACATAAAGTTTCCTGACTGAACCCCTACCCTGGTGGAGGCGTGACATACGTGTAAAATTTCCTCACTGAACCCCGTACCCTGGGAGCGTGACATACGTGTAAAGTTTCCTTACTGAACCCCCTACCCTGGGGGCGGGGACGGAAGTGTCTGTGTTATTACGCGATATAAAATTATTTGACTGCTGCGACTACGTTTCAATCAAGAACTCGTTTAACGCGCCAAGGGCTGTTTTTTCTAATATGTTATTTTCTGATGCTCCACTGTGGGTCGATGTTCAATTTTTGTCCTTAGAAGATAAGGTTGACGCAAGGTTTTATTTTAGAAGACCAAGTTCAACACGGATCAAGTTAGTTTAGTATGTCGACAAGATGGTCTCATACAAAGCTTTGGTTAGTGATCTCATGGTGTAATGCCATTTCTTGACTTAGGCAACTTCAAGAGAAGCGTGGGTGATTGTAGTGTTTCATTCCATTAAAATTATTGTTCGCTTTCCTACGTAAAATGTCTTGCTTTCATTAACGTCCATACTATATGTAAGTTAGTTCTAATGGTAAACTGTATCAGGAGTGTGGCATGTGTATTGGTGGATTATTTCTTGGTGGATTATGTCTTGGTGGATTATGTTTTAGTAGATTATGTATTGGTAGATTATGTCTTGGTGGATTATGTTTTAGTAGATTATGTTTTGGTAGATTATGTCTTGGTGGATTATGTTTTAGTAGATTATGTTTTGGTAGATTATGTCTTGGTGGATTATGTCTTAGTGGATTATGTCTTGGTGGATTATGTCTTAGGGGATCCTTTCTTGGTGGATCCTTTCCTTGTGGATTCTAGTTTGGTGGATACTATCTTGGTGGATCCTGTCCTTGTGGACACTGTCTTTGTGGATTTTGTTTTGGTGGAGACTGTCTTGTGATATATCTCGTCTTGGTGGATATGTCTTTGGTGTATCTTCAACATCTAGCTTAGAACCCATGTCGTAAACTGCTTGTATAACCATCGGTCTCTGCCTCCCTTCTGAACTCACTGTACTGGAGTTAAAAAAAAAGGTTGTGACCCTTGACCTATACTGACTTCCCTCCCCTATTTCCCCACTCGTGACGTCATTATATTTCTACTCGTCACATCCGGCAGGGAGCAGATGAGAATCTCGACCGATGTGACTGGTTCGGTGCAGTAGAAAATTGTCTTTCTTAAAATAACCAGACGACGTGACGTCACTCTACAGACGGCAAATAGACTGGAAGCTTCCAGAAACATTCGGCTAGTGGTGGTCGAACTTGGGACTGTCGGTTGGGGATGGATGAAGTCATGTTTACATTTCGCGTCACTGGTCATGTGACAAGATACTTTCCTTTGTATTGGACAAAAGCAGGAATACACGTGTTAAGCTACATACTCAGTGATTTGAAGACCTCATTGTACAATGTTGAGGGACGTAACACAGACTCGTTAACGTCCATCAGACATAAAGAGTTAAAGACCTCGTGATTACAATTGTAGGGAGGACAGACATCCTTCAGTGACGTCCCACAGTATGTAATATGTAATGAGACGTGCAGCTGTATTGATCAAACACAATTTCCAACCTTGACTTGATGGCAGCTATATTGCTGTATTAAGGCAGCTATATAGCTGTATTTACGGCAGTTATATTGCTGTATTTACGGCAGTTATATTGCTGTATTTATGGCAGCTATATTGCTGTATTTACTCTCCAACTAGTCTTGGCTATTTCATGGCAGCTATATTGCTTTGACCAGTACACAGATAATTAGCTAAATAATCATTTCGCTAGCTTGTGTTGGACTACACATAAAAGATGTTCTTGCTACCGCATATTTTTTCAGTCACACCTAATTTACTTGCTGGCTATTGCCAATTAGTTGCAACTGTTATTTTTTCTTCTGTTCTAAAAACAAATGGCGCTTAATGTTATTGTTTTTGTTTTGTTTTTTTAATGTATGGCAAATTTACAATTTTATTAAATATTTCAAAAAATCTAAAAATAGTCGAG